CGTCCGGCCAAGACACATGGTTCCTAGACAGCTGCTGCGGACTACACATGTGCTCTTCAGATCGCTTTGTTCAACGGGAACAGCGTCTCAACCGGTAAGTCATGATAACCGTCGCCAATAACCAGAACCTGCGCACACGACGACAATGAGTAGTTCAACTGCAGTCCCGCGAGACTAACGTTATTCTACAGATGTCAAAAGTCCTGATTGCAGAAGGACTCGGCTACAACCTACTCAGCATAAGCCAGCTTTTGGCAAAAGGGATTCACCTCGAAGCCGACAGCACCACCCAAGAGTTCAGGCTGTACCACGGGAAGGGCGGACTTTACATCGGAAAGGCAGTCCTGAAGAACAACGTCTTCGTCCTCGACTTCGTCCCAGATCAAGGCATTACCGACAGCGACGGGATAGTTAACTTCACCACTTGGACGCACCCGCCGGATCTCGACCCTGACTTTAGTCCCGGAGGCTTCTGGTACTCGTACACCATACCTGAAGCAGAACGGACAAGGGAGTTAGCGGTAATACAGCAGACAACAGCAGAAGCAGCAGCAACATCGGCAGAAGCAGCAGCAACATCCGCAGAAGCAGAAGCAACAACAGAGACAACAGCACCAGCACCAATCGCCGGCCCTTCATCAGCACCACCTCCCATCAACGACTCCACACCGACTCCCGCTCAACAGCTGACTCCCGCTCCACGCGACATTCACAGAAGCGCCAACATCACCGCAAGTTTCTATTCCAACTCCGACCTGTACAGGCGATCACCTGGACATCGCGCCGACAAATCACTGTGGCATCAAAGGGTAGGAAATCCCAGCAACACGACACTGAACAACACGATAAGAGCAGGAGTTCTCGATAAGGACTCGTTACTTTTACCAGATGGCAGAGAACTTCAACGAGTCCGTGGAACCTGCTTTACCTGTCCCGAAGCCGACCTACCTCATCAACCGTTCGTCTCTCACCACAACCCGAGTGCACCAGCATACGCACCACTGGAGAAGGTCTATAGCGACATACTGTACGCCCGCGAAAGCGGACAAGGAGCTTATAACTACGTGATAACGTTCATCGACGCCGCCACCAAATACGTCTGGCACCTCAACCTACCAAGTCGCGACATGGCCTTCGAAGCCTTCGTCGCATGGCTTCCAGTAGCAGAAAGGGAGTCCGGGGTGAAGCTAAAGAGTTTTCAGTCTGACGGGGGAGGAGAATATCAATCACAGAGGTTCAAGCAATACTTGGCAGAAAAGGCATCAAGCGATTCATCTCCCTCCCCTACGCTCATCAACAGCAAGGCGTGGCAGAAAGGATGAATCGGACCATCCAGAACACCATGCGCAAGCTACTACGTGGCATGCGGCTACCCAACAGTCAGAGGCCTGAGGCGATGGACCACGCTGTACTACTGCACAACTTGCTCTCGTCGTCCTCACTCCCGAACAACGCATCACCGCATCTAATGTGGACAGGAAAGCTGGGCAACACAAAAATGTTACGAGTTTTTGGCTGCATGGTACCGTACCGACCCCACACTGCAAGAGCCGGCCGATTCTCACAACGCGCACAATGGGGGCTAAACCTGGGCATCGAAAAACACTACAATGCGTGGAAAATCTTCGACGTCCACTCGAAAGAAGTAGTAGCAGCACGTGACGTTCTTTTCTACAAACGACTCACCCTCCAAATGTACCTGGACAACCTGGCAGCAGAACGAGACCCCACGGGCGGCTTCCATGGAAACCGAGCCTTCGCCTCGCCAGCAGATGAGGCTGACTGGGATGAGCAAAACGTGGACGGAGCATCGGAGGAAGCCGGACCTGTGCCCTACTGCTCAGTACCTGTTCTGATGGATGACGACAACCCTCGCGAAAGTGTCAACGCCGAAGTCTACTATGACTTCGCCGACAACGGTTACGTTACACCCCAACTCGTCAACACCAATGTCTCAGAACGCATAGGCCCCAATTTCATACCTGACCCAGAAGCGGGAGACGAAGCAGTCTATCCCGAGGATCCAAGTCTCCCTCGACTCACACAGAGTGGGCTGCAGATTCTCGGCCTTGTCACCTCCGTCCATGGAGCGTCGCCGCCGCGAGAGCCTACTACAGTCCAGCAGGCTCTGGGGGGGGAGCACACGGAAAAATGGCGCGAAGCCATGGACAGGGAGCTAAAAGCTCTGGAAGACCGCAATACGTGGAAGATGGTTCCCATCGGAGCAGTACGCAACAAAACCATACTCACGGGAAAATGGGTTTTCCGCGTGAAAACAAAGGCAAACGGAACAATTGACAAGTTCAAGGCACGATGGGTCGTGCGCGGTTTCGATCAAGAGCACGGACGGGACTCCACCGAAACTTTCGCACCGGTCAGCCGACACACTTCACTGCGAATTCTCCTCACAATGGCCACCATGAAACGCAAGAAACTTCGCCAAATCGACGTGGCCAATGCATTTCTCTACGCTCCTGTCGATGCAAAGATCTTCGTCGAGCAACCCCACCGATCCATCAAAGACCCCAACCAAGTCTGTCAGCTACTGAAGTCGCTGTATGGCATCAAACAAGCTCCGCGACTATGGCAACAGTACCTGCACACCCGACCGATTCGCATCGGCTTCCAGCAACTACCACACGATCAAGGGATGTACAGGCTCACAAAGGCAGTAGAGTACATCCTGCTCATCGTCTATGTAGATGACCTACTCTACATAGGCTCCACCGACGGCATCACCACCTGGTTCGAAGGGGAGCTACAGCAGAATCTCTCACTCACAGTCTCCCCTACCGTGACCCAATACCTGGGACTTAACATACTCGATGGAGAGAACGCGATCTACCTCAGCGCCGCAAAATACGCCGACACCATCGCAAAATGCTTCGGATTAATACCAACCGCCATCTCCACGCCCTATCGCTACACCGTGGGAACCCACCATGGAGAATCCAATCCGCCCGGACCTTCCAGCCTACGCGACTACCAGCAGAAACTGGGATTTCTGCTCTTCTCAGCTGTCACCTGTCGACCGGATCTGTCATACTCGGCGAGCCAACTCGCTACCTACCTCAAAAGGCCTGAAGCTGAACATATGGCGGGACTCGATCGCGCACTGCACTACCTCATCAGCACACCAGCAACCGGCCTAACCTATCACAAAACTGCAACCACGACTCCAAAGCTAATCGGCTATGTGGATGCCGACCACGCAGGCGACTTCGACAACAGACGATCGCGCACCGGCTACATATATCGACTTGAGCCCGTCGGTCCTATCTCGTGGCAGTCAAGCAAGCAAGAGATCATTGCTCTTTCTTCTGCCGAAGCAGAATACATCGCACTCTGCACAGCCACCAAGGAAGGACTGTATCTTCGCAAACTTCTGGAAGAAGCAAAGCTGGCCCAGTTACCCAGCTTCTCCCTCTTCTGCGACAACCAATCAGCAATCCGCATAACGAACAAGAACGGGTTCGCGAACCGAACGAAGCATATCGCCCTGCGATACTTCTTCGTGAAAGACGAGATTGAAAAAGCAAGACTCGAGCTATCTTATTGCCCCACGTCCGAGATGGCAGCAGATTACTTGACCAAGAAACTTGGAAAGCAGAAGTTCGAGTACTGCATGCTGCTGACTGGACATGGCCACGTCACCATCAATGAAAGCGACGACACTCCAGAAGCGAAGGGGAGTGTTGGAAATATATATTTCGCGCTTCTGACGTGTCGATCACTATAACAAGAACGAAGCAGACTCACAAGCGAGGCAACACCGAGTCAACCAAAATACAGCGAAGCGGTTGACAAAAGGACAAAAGCAAGAAGTTGAAGCGAAGGTCAAAGGTCAGCGACCTTTGACTCGACAAAAACAGCACGACAGCAAGGACAAATAACTGACTCGCTATTGAGCAGTTACCCGAGTCGTCGCTGTATCAAACCGCATTAGGAGTTACAATTGCAGTTAGTGAAACCTTTCATATTCCCTGTAATCATATAAAAGCCCTGTATCTCTATGCTATAATCAACACATCTTGTTCGCATATACCAGTGCAAGGTGGTTCAACCAGTCTCATTAAGACGCTTCCGCTAATACATCATCACTCGAAGCCGTAGTCATTGAAACGATCCTAAGGGCTTTCTCAGTCCAACAGTGTAGTATCACCCTATCTTGTCGTTAGGTGGTCTACCTCCCTTCACCACCTCCCCTCTCTTATATCTTGTACTCCCATTCCATAGTGCAACCCCCTTCTTTTTGGCCAACTCTCTCGTTCCTAGCTTCTAGCCCCCCCAAACCCTAAGCTACTATGTTTGCCATGCTATCAGAGCTGGTCCCGGTCTAAGGACCTCTTTTTCTTTTCAGGAACATGGGCCCGCCATGCTGCAGCGCGGAATGCGCAATTTATTTTTCCTCTGCCCGTTCTGCCCATCGCATCCCCCGCTCGTCGCGCCCTTCGCGCTCGTCGCCCCGCTGCCCCCCGTCGCCCCGCGATCCGCTGGCGACAGCGCGAGCGCGAGCGCCCGACGCGGACGCAGTCGCCAGCGCCCGACGCGGACGCGGACGCCAGCGCCAGGCGCCAGCGCGAGCGCCAGCGGCAACTGACGCCGCCCCTCCCCCCCTGCCTTCCTTCCGCGACTTCCGCCGGGGGGGGGGGGGGGGTGGGGGGGGGGAGGAGATGTGGGGGTGGCGGGTGTGAGCAACCTGCAGCCCGTCCCTCCCCTCCCTCTTCCTCTCTCCCTGCAGTACTTGTTGCTGTGGGGGGGGGAGAAGAGAGGTTAAGGGGGGAGGAGAGAGGTTCAGGGGGGATGAAAGAGAGAGAGAGAGAGAGAGAGAGAGAGAGAGAGAGAGAGAGAGAGAGAGAGAGAGAGAGAGAGAGAGAGAGAGAGAGAGAGAGGACTCTAGCCTCTGCCCTCTGCCCTCTGCCCTCAGCCCTCTGCCCTTGGCCTTCTAGCTATATAAGGGGCCTTCTTGGCCTCTTTTCTTCATTGTGTAGAGCCCGCGTCTACATGCAGTGAGCTCCAAGGGCGTGAAGAACGCCAGTCAGGGAGCGCCACAGCTCCCGGACCACAAGCGTGCTTGCGCCGATCGCCGCGGCTCCAGATCCTGCGCGCAAGTGCCGCCTCAGGCCCCGAACAGCCTCGTCGAGCTGTCCCGCAGCAGCAGCGCCACCCTCCACGGGCTCAGCCAGCACGGGCGCCAGTAGCACTGCGAGCTGGTCCGCCGCATCCAAGCACGTCTCACGCGGGCGGTCACGGAACGTCTCAGGTGGGATCACGGGGAGGGACGAGTGAGCAACAACCTGTATCAACAACAACGCGTGGAGACTCTCCGCAAGGCGGTGGAGCTGGCCGAGCGTTGCCTCGGGAACACGCGTCTGCGGAGGCTGAAGCGCCTCCGCCAGGAACAGGAGCGGCTCATCAGCAGCAACGTGATGAGAATACTGAGTCGCCGCCGCACCACCACCCGCGGACACAAATTCCACCCCCGCAACAGGCGGAACCGGCGGCAAATGGAGACGCGATCCTAGCGCGGGTGCCGACGCAGCGGGAGCAGGAGCCGTTGGGCGGTGAATCTGAGGAGGGGGTGCGGCGACAGGCGGAGGACTCACTGGGAGCACAGGCTGGCGGGGAGCCTCGTGGGCCGGCGAGGCGCGCATCGAACTGCTCTGGCTCTGCGCCACCCTCTCCTCGCGTACCGCCCTCGACACTTCCCGCTGAAGATCTGCCATCGTCACGGGCGGGTGGTACCCCCCACCGCCACCACGCCCGCGGGGACCCCTCCACTCCCCCTGAGCACCGGGGTGAGCAGGCCAGTGAGACTGCTGCTGGTAACGCCGTGGAGAATCACGCCGGCGACGAGACGACTTGCGCTCCTGGTGGGCCGCGGGGGAATGGGGACGAGACAGGCGGCGGTCAGGTGACGGGGGGCGTGACGGCTGACCTGCCTGGGCCACCAGCGTCACCGCAGGTGCGGATTGACCCGCCGCTGAGGGCGCAACCGACGGAGCCGGCCGCCAGTGGTGGCGGACGCTGCCTGCGGTGACGAAGCAGAAGCCGGAGCAGACACGTCGGGGACAGAAGCGGGCGGTGCACAGGGGGCACCAGGGACAGGAACAGGGGGATCAGCAGCACCCCCAGCAAGAGCAGATGCCGGCGGCTCGACAAGGAGAGCTAGGGGACCAGGAGCAGCGGCCGGAGCGGACGGAACAGCAACAGGGGCAGACGGGCCCGCATCTGGCACGGCAAGGGGATCCGCGGGTGCGTGGGGAAGAGTCTTTTCAGCGACTGTTGTCACGAGCTTCGGAGCCGGCGGTACAGGGGGCTTCGTCGCCGTGGTCGCCATTCCGGGCCCCGACTGAGGCTGGGCGACCACAGCCGACGAGGCGGCAGCGCGCTCTGGCGACGGCTCAGATACACCGGCAATCACCATCTGGAGAGCGGGGAGGTCACGGAGCTAGACGGCAAGAGGCTAGCGGGACAGGCGGAGGTCCGGAAAACGGGTATCAAGCAGCGGCACGAATGGCTTTAACAGCTCTGGAAGCAACTAATGAGGAAGACGAGCTAAGGGACCCGTCTTATAGGGAAGAATCCCTCCCTCCCAGCGAGGACGAGGGGATTGAGGACGAAGGCAGTGCGAGGGAGGCAGCGGGAAGAAGAGTAGCGGGGGTAGGACACTCGCCCACGCAAGTAGCACATGTGGATCATCGACCGTCCGATGTCGATCGAACGGGTGGAATTCCAGCACCAATCCCACCAGCACGGACGAGCCGCGCTCGACGAAATCGAGCCACCACAATCAATGTCACGGCGCGCCAAACCAATCCGACACCCCGCTATTTTTCGCCTGACGAGCTGGCGAGGCGAGCAGACCTGTTCGCAACCATCGCGAACTGGGACATCGCAGCACTCTGCGACAGACGTCAGCCTTCGCTGTCACGCCGTTTACCGCCGAATCTGTGCCAACTGTTCTCGCAGGTGCTTCTGACACCGTTACTCCACCTATCGCGAAACCCCGAAACCGAAGCAGGTTGGCGCCTGCTTCTGTTTCTCCCGCGCCTAACACTTCGCCAGACCTCGCCACAAAGACCGAACTGGCCGGGGGTCAAGGCCCGGCTCCGAGCCTTTCAGCGCGGCGAATGGGAGCAGCTGTACCAGGATGCGGTCGACGCAGTCAACACACCCCCACCGCCTCGACACCAGCCTGACACAACCGGAATCATCAGCCGAGCCGAGGGCCTGGCGAAACGTGGCAGTTTACGCCGGGCCGTGCTGGCCCTGGAGTCAACGCCCGTCTGCACCCCGTGCCCGGAAATTTTGGAAGAGCTGCGCCAAAAGCACCCGCCAGCAGTACACGAAGCAGTGACCTGGCCCGAGCCACCCGAGTCAAAGCTTTCCATCACCCACGCTGAGTTTGCCAAGATTCTGGGAAGATGCGAGAACGGGGTGGGAGCTGGACCTTCGGGCACGACATTTGAGCACCTGCGCGACGCGGCGATCACCAACGCGACGGTCAGCACCCATCTGCACGCCTTGGTCAACACCATGTTAGGAGGAAATTTGCCAGGCCCGGTCGCAAAAATTCTGACTGCGTCACGGCTCATAGCTCTGGCCAAACCTGGGGGAGGAGCCCGGCCGATCGCGATAGGCGAATGTTTGACAAGGCTGACAGCCAAGGCGGCCCTGATAGCCATGGGTGAAGCTGCCCGTGAACATTTCCTGCCACTTCAGTACGGCGTGGCAATGCCAGGTGGAGCAGAGGCGGTAATCCACGCAGCTAGGGCATTCTTGGATGCCCGTCCCAACAGCCTGGTCCTGCAAGCCGACATTTCAAATGCATTCAACAGCATTTCGCGACAGGCCATCGCTAATGCGTTACAAGAGCCCGGACTCTCGCCTCTGCAGCCGTTTGTGAAGCTGACCTACGGTAACCCGTCGCAACTGCTCCTGGACGCCAATTTCAACTGCGAACCGCTGCAGAGTGAACGGGGCGTTCGGCAGGGGGACCCCCTAGGCCCGTTACTGTTTGCAGCAGGGATACACCCCGCGCTCTGTGAGATTGTAGAGGCACACCCGGACGTGCTTTGCTTGGCGTATGCGGACGACGTCACATTTCTGGGTGACACATCGTGCACTGTAGCAGCTTTCACACATTTCACAGCCAAGCTAGCACATCTGGGCCTAACGCATAATCCGCAGAAATGCGCGGCCTGGAGCTCAAACACAGTCACACAAGCACAACTCCCGCCCGGTGTGCCGTTTTCCAAGGACGGAGTACGGCTCCTGGGTAGTTACGTAGGGACGGACGCTGGAGCAGCCAAGTTCCTATCAGGACAGCTAGACGAGATGGCGAAGCCGTTACCGCTTTTAGAACGTGCCGACCCCCAGGTAGCCGCACTGCTCCTCACGCGATGCATCTCCAGACGAGTAGCCTACCTCATTAGAACGACACCGCTCCGCCTTCTCCCCCGCGACACCTGGAGCCAGTGGGGTCGGGACCTGCTCGTTACCTTACTCACCTCATGCGACATCCGCCTGCCAACATGCCGCACCGAGCAAGCGCGTGTGTGGGAACAGGCGTCGCTGCCAACGTCGCTAGGCGGCATAGGCATCACAGACCCGCTCATAGGAGTCTACGGTTTCACAGCGAGTTTCACCCAAGCGGCGCTATTCCTGTCCTCCCTGGCGCTTGAACCAGAGAACGCCTTGACGATCGCTCGGAACCATATGCTACTGCCAAGGGATGACAGCACACCGATGCATTCATGGCTCGCGGAGTGCGAAGCGGCCCTGCCACTAGACGCGCGCGAGATCCTGGAGAAAGAGCGGCTGGAGCGATCGGATATTAGGCTACAACACGTGCTCGGGCTAAAGGTGCACGGAAGCAGATACGCCGTGCAGGTCCAGGCAACCAGGCGCATGCGGCTGAACCCACTCTCAGGCCACACGCAGCGGATGTTCTCGCTGACCGGATATGGCACCGGTGACTGGCTGACCGCGATCCCCATTGAAGCCACGAGGCGGATAGGCCCCGTACACTTCGCCAACGCCGTTCGCTTTCGTCTGGCCCTCCCTTTTTCAACCCCTAAGAACTGCGACTGCGCAGACCAGATAGCTATCACTGATCCCCGCCTGCCGAACCATCTCCTCCGCTGCGGCTTGGGCAAGCATCGCATTAACACTCACAACGAGCTACGGGATGCGTGCATTAGCATGGCGCAGCACGCCGGATTCATAGTTCACAGCGAGTCGGCCGTCCACTGCCCTATCGAGGAACAAACCGCCGATTTCACCTTGACGGATAGAAGCAGTGGGGCGGTTTACGTTTGTGATGTCACCATCACAGACCCCATAAGCACAAGGGACCCGGAGGCGCAGAAAGGCAGGGGATGGGCGGCACGGGAACAAGCAGATAAGAAGATCGAGCATTATGCCAACCGGCCGGAGACGGTTGGTTTTTTCCCACTGGCAGTAGACACCTACGGCTGCCCATGCGCGGAAGTTCGAGTCTTCCTAAAGCTACTCGCGGACACGGCGGCTCGGCGCCATTTCAACGCCGACTCTAAATCCTTTTATGCCGCCAAGTTCCTGCACCAGTTTCGGCAGCGATGGTCAGTGGCCCTTCAGAGGGCCCAATCAGTGGGTCTTCTACTCAAGTTGGGCGAGGCGGCAGCAGCAGAGAACCCGCCTGTAGGGGGTATTGGTCAAGAGTTACACCTAGGGGACTGTTTTGCGGTGGTAGAGCCCTTCTTGGAGCTCTAGGGGAATAGTGGGTAGGAATTGGTGCTGTGTTTGTTACATCCATACTCTGTATGCTTGTACTTTGCTGCTATATCAATACAAGGACCATTAGAGAGAGAGAGAGAGAGAGAGAGAGAGAGAGAGAGAGAGAGAGAGAGAGAGAGAGAGAGAGATGGGGAAGGGGACGGGGAAGGGATGGGGAGGACAGGAGGGAGGGGATGGGAACACGGGGGGCAGTCCCAGGGCTTGAGGTTGGCAGGGCTGAGGAGGCCGTGTGACTCCTATGGGCTTGGTTCCGACGACCCTAGTTCTGTTTGCTTGTTTGCTAGCATAGCTTAGCTACCAGTTCTGCTTGCATGCTTGTTTAGACCAGTTGGCTATCACCGCCATGCCATGCCTGTACTCTTTGATCCCTATCAATACATGTCTGCTTGAGAGAGAGAGGGTTAGCCTCTGCCCTCTGCCTCTAGCCTCTGCCCTTGGTTTCCTAGCTACTTAAGAGGCTGCTCTAACCTTCATTTGGTCATTATTCAGTGGGAGCCGGAATTTTTCGCTCGCGCGAGAGAGCGAGAGAGAGAGAGAGAGAGAGAGAGAGAGAGAGAGAGAGAGAGAGAGAGAGAGAGAGAGAGAGAGAGAGAGAGAGAGAGAGGGTTAGCCTCTGCCCTCTGCCTCTAGCCTCTGCCCTTGGTTTCCTAGCTACTTAAGAGGCTGCTCTAACCTTTATTTGGTCATTATTCAGTGGGAGCCGGATTTTTTCGCTCGCGCCGGCCGCCGATGCTCGACGGCGCGGCCTTCGGCCGCGCGCGAGGGGACGGCAAGTAACCACAAACTGAGCCGTTTAAAGTCAGAAGCATTACACACATGGCAACTCCTAACGCGGCCTAGCCGCGCGTCACACTAAATGGGGCAGACGGAGCCCGCGTCTACATGCGGTGAGCTCCAAGGGCGTGAAGAACGCCCGTCAGGGAGCGCCACAGCTCCCGGACCACAAGCGTGCTTGCGCCGATCGCCGCGGCTCCAGATCCAGCGCGCAAGTGCCGCCTCGGGCCCCGGACAGCCTCATCAAGCTGTCCCGCAGCAGCAGCGCCACCCTCCGCGGGCGCAGCCAACACGGGCGCCAGCAACGAAGCGAGCTGGTCCGCCGCGTCCAAGCACGTGTCACGCTGGCGGTCGCGGAAAGTCTCCGGAGGAATCACGAGGAGCGACGAATGAGCGAGAACCTGAATCAGCAGCAACGCGTGGAGGCTCTCCGCGAGACGGTGGAGCTGGCCAAGTGTGGCCTCAGGAACACGCGTCTGCGGGGGCTGCAGCGCCTCCGTCAGAAACAGCAGCGGCTCATCAGCAGCAACGAGGTGGGAATGCTGAGCCGCAGCGCCACCCCCCGTGGGAACAAACTCCACCCCCGCAACAGGCAGAACCGGTGGCAAATGCAGACGAGAGCCGGGTGCAGGCGCCGAGACAGAAGGAGACGGAGCAGACGGGGCGAGGACAGGAGGAGGAAATGCAGCTGCTGGCGGAGGGGCCATAGGAGGCTCAGTCCGACGAGGAGCCACAGGCGCCGGCGCGGCCCGCAGCGAACTGCTCTGACTCTGCGCCGTCCTCTCCTCGCGCACGGCCCGCGACACCTCTCGCTGGAGATCCGCCATTGTCACAGGCGGACGATATCTCCCGCCACCGCCACGCCCATGGGGGCCCCTCCAGCCCCCATTGCCGCCAGGGTGAGCAGGCCACTGGGCCTGCTGCTGGTAGCGCCGGGGAGAGTTGCGCCGTCGCCGCGACGTCTCCCGCTCCTGTTGGGGTGCGGGAGAATGGGGGCGGGATAGACGGCGGTCCGGCGACGGGGGACGAGACGGCTGCACTACAGGAGCCGCCGGCAGCAGAGCGGGAGCCACCAGGTCCGCGCCAGGAGGCGCAACCATCGGAGGCGGGTCGACAGTGGTGGCGGACGCCGCCCTCGGGGAAGAAGCAGACGCCGGCGCAGGCACGTCGGGGACAGAAGCGGCCGGTGCAACGAGTGCGCCAAGAGCAGGAACGGAGCGAGCAGCAGCTCCCCCAGCAGGCGCGGACGCCACCGGCGCAACCACGGGAGCCAGGTGCACAGGAGCAGGAGCGGTAGGCGGAGCGGGAGGAGCTTCAGCAGGAGCAGACGGGCCGGCCTCGACCGCGCCAAGGGGAGCCGCGGGTGCGGGGGGAAGAGTCTTTTCAGCGTCTACTGTCGCGGGTTTCGGAGCCGGCGGTAGAGGAGGTTTCGGGGCCGTGGTCACCTTTTCGGGCCCCGACGGAGGCCTGGCGATGACAGCCGACCAGGCGGCAGCGCGCTCTGGCGACGGCGCGTCAACACCAGCAATCACCATCTCAAGCACGGGGAAGTCGCGGGACGGATCAGCTAACAGCAAGCGGGATTGGCGGAGGCCCAGAGAACGGATACCAGGTAGCTGCAAGGGCAGCTTTAACCAACTTAGATACGGCGGCTGAGGATGACGAGCAGGAGGATCCCTCTTATAGGGAAGAAGCGACACCTGATAGCGAGGGCGAAGAGACGGAGGAAGAGGAAGGTGCGGCGAGGGAGAACTCTGGGAGAATGGAAGCAGTGGAGGAGCAAGCACGCGTGGACACGCCCCAGGAGACACGCCCACCGCTCGATGCCGATCGGACGGAGGAGCTTCCAACCTCCGCCTCCCAGGGGCGAGCGGGTCGTCCTAGAGGAAATCAGCAAGCGAACATTGGGGTTGCGACGCGCTCAGCCGCTCCGATCCCCCGCTATTTTTCGCCTGACGAACTGGCGAGGCGAACAGACCTGTTCGCTGCCATCGGAACCTGGGACATCGCAGTTCTGTGCGACAGTCGTCAGCCTTCGCTGTCGCGGCGCTTACCGCCAAATCTGTGTCAGCTGTTCTCGCTGGCGTTACTGACGCCGTTATCACACCTCTCGTGAAACCCCGAGTCAGAGACAGGATGGCGCCTGCTGCTATTTCTCCCGCGCCTAACCCTTCGCTAAACCTCGCCACAACGGCCGGATTGGCCGAAAATCAAAGCCCGGCTCCGAGCCTTCCAGCGTGGCGAATGGGAGCAACTGTACCTGGACGCGGTCGACGCGGTCAACATGCCACCTCCGCCTCGACACAGGCCCGGTGCGACAGGTGTGATCAGCCGGGCCGAGGGTCTGGCGAAACGTGGCAGTCTTCGACGGGCCGTCCTCGCCCTGGAGTCAACTCCCGTCTGCACTCCCAGCCCCGAAATCCTGGAGGAGCTGCGTCAAAAGCACCCACCTGCAGCACGGGAGGGGGTGAACTGGCCGACTTCGCATGGGTCAACACTTTCAATCGCCCACGCGGAATTCGCCAAAATGTTGGGCAGATGCGAAAATGGAGTTGGAGCCGGGCCTTCGGGGATGACATTCGAACATTTGCGCGACGCGTCTATCACAAATGCATCGGTCCGCACCCATCTGCACGCCTTGGTTAACACCATCCTGGGAGGAAATTTGCCAGGCTCGGTGGCAAACCTCCTGACCTCATCGCGCCTCATTGCTTTGGCCAAGCCGGGGGGTGGTGCTCGGCCAATCGCGATCGGCGAGTGCTTGACAAGGCTGGCAGCCAAGGCTGCCCTGACAGTGATGGGCGAAGCTGCCCGCGAGTTCTTCCTCCCACTACAGTATGGCGTGGCAGTGCCAGGTGGCGCCGAGACAGTAATCCATGCGGCCAGAGCTTTCCTAGATGCACGCCCCACCAGCCTAGTTCTGCAAGCTGACATCAAGAACGCATTCAACAGTATTTCGCGACAGGCCATCGCCACTGCGTTACAAGCTCCCGAACTCTCGCCACTCCTGCCGCTCGTCAAATTAACCTACGGTAACCCGTCGCTGCTGTTCCTGGATTCCAACTACAACTCCGAACCACTGCATAGCGAACGCGGGGTCCGCCAGGGGGACCCACTTGGCCCGCTACTGTTTGCGGCCGGGATACATGCCACGCTTCGCGACACTGCAGAAGCTCACGCGGGTGTACTCTGTTTGGCGTATGCGGACGACGTGACTTTCATAGGGGACATTGAAGACACTGTAGCGGCATTTACCCATTTCACGGGCAATTTGTCACTACTGGGGCTCGAGCACAACCCAGAGAAGTGTGCGGCCTGGAGCTCGAATGCAGTCCAAGCAACCAACTTACCTCCAGGGGTGCCGTTCTCAAAGGACGGCGTGCAACTGCTAGGCAGCTTCATAGGGCCTGATAGCGGCGCGGCGACTTTCCTAGCAGGACAGCTAGACGACATGGCGAAGCCGCTAACACTCATCGAACGGACGGACCCACAGGTAGCGGCACTGCTCATCACGCGCTGCATTTCGAGGCGGGTCGCGTACCTCACAAGGACGATGCCCCTAAACCTACTCCCCCGCGACAGATGGAGCCAGTGGGGTATGGACCTGCTCACCACGCTTCTTACCTCTTGTGACATCCGAATGCCGACCTGCAGGACAGAGCAAACACGGGTCTGGGAGCAGGCATCGTTACCCCCGTCACTGGGAGGCCTCGGTATCACGAACCCCCTCATTGAGGGGATTTACGGCTTCGCGGCAAGCTTTACCCAGGCGGCGCTTTTCCTCAACAAACTCTCGCTGGGAGAGGAGACCGCGCTTATGCAGGCCCGAAATCACATGCTCCTGCCGCGGGACATCAGCACGCCACTGCACACTTGGCTGACGGGGTGTGAGGAGGCACTACCAACTGACGCTCGGGAGATATTAGAAAAGGAGCGGCTGGAACGCTCTGACATTCGGCTCCAGCACGTGCTCGGACTGAAGGTGCATGGGAGTAGGTATGCCGTGCAGGTGCAAGCGACGAGGCGCATGCGGCTAAACCCGCTCGCCGGACACACGCAGCGGATGTATTCTCTGACAGGCTACGGCACCGGCGACTGGATCACGGCGATCCCAATAGCTCCCACAAGGCGGATAGGGCCAGTGCATTTCGCCAATGCTGTGTGCTTCCGCCTTGCGCTGCCGTTTTCAACTCCCAAGAACTGCGACTGCTCGGAGCACACGGCCATCGCTGACCCCCGGCTCCCAAACCACCTGCTCCGCTGCGGCACGGGCAAGCATCGCACAAACACTCACAATGAGCTGCGGGATGCATGCGCTAGCATGGCACAGGATGCGGGCTTTATAGTCCATCGGGAGTCAACTGCCTACTGCCCCATCGAGGAACAAACGGCGGATTTCACAATGTCGGACAGAAGCAGTGGAGCGGTCTACATCTGTGACGTCACTGTCACCGATCCTATTAGCACTCGGGACCCTGAGGCTAAAAAAGGCAGGGGGTGGGCGGCACGAGAGCAGGCAGACAAGAAGATCAAGCATTATGCCAACCGCCCAAAGACGGTTGGCTTCTTCCCCCTGGCGGTAGACACTTACGGCTGCCCATGCGCTGAGGTTCCCGTATTCCTCAAGCTCCTTGCAGACTCGGCGGCTCGGCGGCACTTCAACGCCGTCTCCAACTCTTTTTATGCCGCCAAGTTCTTGCACCAGTTCCGGCAGCGTTGGTCAGTGGCCCTGCAACGGGCCCAATCCGTGGGGCTTCTAATGAAGCTGGGTGAGGCAGCGGCGGCAGAGAATCCTCCGGTGGGGGGCATTGGGCATGAGTTGCACCTGGGGGACTGTTTTGCAGTGGTGGAACCACTCCTGGATCTCTAGAGTGGGGCAGTAGGGAGGGGGTAGCAGTAGAGGCTTAGGTGATGTTGCACTGTGTTTTTATTTGCTTGCTTGATATCTTGCATGTGTGTACTTTCAACTACTATCAATACACGGACCATTAGAGAGAGAGAGAGAGAGAGAGAGAGAGAGAGAGAGAGAGAGAGAGAGAGAGAGAGAGAGAGAGAGAGAGAGAGAGAGAGAGAGCGCACCGACCCCGCCCCTGCGGATTGATAGCCCGGCAACCGAGGAGGCAGCACAGGATATTCCCCAGGAGCCACAGAGCCAGATGGGGGGTGAGCCGTCACGGCGACGTGAACCCGCGACGCATCCAAATCCGCCTGAGCGCGCCTTACAGCCTCAGCAACCAGCCCCGGAAGGCGCTGTAACGCGCGGTCGACTGAGGCACCAACGCCTCGCCCTGGACCACCCCCACCCTGCCCCCCGCGACGGCCCCGTCGCCCACCAGAGCCAGCGGACTGGGGTCGCGAAGGACTCGGCGGCCGGCGCGCCGCCTCCCATCGGCGGTCAGGAGAGGATTGCCCGCCCCGGCCCCGGCGTGCAGGCGAGCGACGAGGCAACCGACCCACCGGAGAACGCGGACGTGGCGCACGACGCTCCGGAGTACGCTGACCAGGAGCGTGACGTTGAGGAGAGGGATGCTGCGGGGAACGCCACTCGGGAGATCGCCGGCGTTCCGCGCGATGAGGAGGAGCAGGGGATCGCCGATCGCCCCGACGAGGAGAACCGCGCTGAGGCGCGGGACGAACCGGCGATCGCCCACGCTCTGGTCGGTCCACGGTGCCCAGCTCAGCGGCGACAAAGCGAGCCGGTGCCCGCGACCCCTCAGGCGACACAGGGCGAGGGGATCGACGGAGCGGAAGAGACAGCCCGCGCGCAAGGCATCGAGCGGGCTCACTCGCAGCAGGACGATGACGCGCAGCAACGGGCTGAGGAGCCGCCACGGGTGCAGCGTCTAAGCCAGGCCGGGCACTCTCCGCGGTCCCCTCTCTCAAGGCGCCGTGATCCGCGGTCGGCTCCATTACCGTGGAGGCGTGAGCAGAGGACGCCAGCGGGGCAACGCCCAGATGATGCAGATGAAGATACTACGCCGCAGCAGAGGCAAACGCCCGCCTCTGCAGCAACACCAACGCCTCTGCAGCAACACCGCCCGATACCACTGCTGCCGACGCCAGCGCGCCGTCAAGGAGTGAGCGACGCCGATCCTCCAACAAGGCGCTCGGGGGCGGGAAGAGGAAGAGAAACACGGGGAATTCGTGTGGGACGAGGCAACAGCCGCCGCGGACGTGGGCGCGGCGCCACGACTCAGAGAAGAGGCGCAAGTAGCTTCGCTAGAGCAGCACAGCGGGTCCTGCGGCAGAGAGCTAGGGAGGGAGGGGAGACACTTGGTGACAATTCTGGGAATGGCTCATCGGGTGACCCCCCCTTTATCCCCGAAAGGGAGGGGAGTTCGAGCCCCTCGACAGAGGAAGACGAGGTTGACCCAGCCCAAGGAGTGGGTGAAATTCCAACTGGAGGTCGAACCGCATCTGCAATTCGAACCCCTCGAAATCGGGCCGCGAGGGGAAACCGAGCCGCCACCAACACTGGGGTTACCACCACCCCTGACAACGCGGCACCAATCATCAGCGCTGACGATCTGGCGGGCCGGCAGGACCTCTTCGCGGACATCGCCAACTGGGACCTCTGCCCACTGCGCGACAGCAGACAGCCACCCCTCGCCCGCCACCCACCCCGCCCACTGCGCGAATCCTTCGCAATCTGTCTGCTGACCCCACTACTTCACCTGGCGAAAAATCCTGACTTGTCACCTGGTTGGAAGCTGCTGATGTTTCTCCCGCGTATCCTGCTGCTCTCCTCGTCAGCCCGCAAACCTGACTGGAAGACCATGGCCGACAGACTGACGAGATTTCGCCAAGGCCTATGGCGGGACCTGTATGACGAGGCAGCGGACGCAGTCACCAACAACCCCCAACCACGCCACGTACCCGACACCACGGGCAAGCTGGCGAGGGCCGAGGGGTTGGCCAAAAGAGGAAACCTGGCAAAATCTCTCCAATCCCTGACTGCCACGCCCGTCTGCACGCCGAGCGCTGAAGTCCTTAGTGCACTCACAGCCAGGCATCCAGAGGCCACCCTGGCCATACCGGACTGGGTGCACGACTTCGCCTCTGAGACTGTACCTTCAATCACAGCCCGTGACTTCAGGCGTTTGCTAGCTAGATGCCCGAACGGTGTAGGAGCCGGGCCCTCAGGAACCACTTTCGAGCACCTGAGAGACGCGGCACTAGGGAACGCCGACGTCTTAGTGCACCTTCACGCACTCATCAACACGGCGCTAGCGGGAAAATTGAGCGCAGAGGTGGCAGATCTCCTCACAGCGTCGCGACTACTAGCTTTCTCGAAACCACAGGGCGGAACGAGACCGATAGCTGTGGGTGAATGTCTGCTACGCCTCATCGCCAAGGCGGCTCTTTTCATAGCCGCTCCCGCGGCGCGCGTGCACTTCACCCCGCTCCAATTCGGAGTAGCGATCGCCGGAGGCATAGAAGCGGCGATACACACAACGCGGACATACCTAGAGGAATTCCCAGGAGCGACGGCTCTGCAGATTGACTTGGCAAACGCCTTCAACGCAGTGGAGCGCGCGGCAGTGTTCGAGGGACTGAAAGGCACCGACCTCGACTTCCTCGTGCCTCTCGTCCGCCTCTCATACGGCCGCTCATCTGCACTCTATCTCGACCATGATTTTGGAGCAGAGCCCCTTCAGAGCGCACGAGGCGTGCGCCAGGGTGATCCTCTGGGACCCATGCTATTCGCAGCCAGCATCCACCCATGTCTCGTCGCCACGGCAGCGGCTCATCCGGAGGTGGTGCTTCTCGCGTATGCCGATGACATCACTCTGCTAGGCGAGGCGGCGAACTGCACGGAGGCCTTCACTCACCTCACAGAGGCCCTCCTCAGCCACGGCTTGGCTCACAACCCGGCGAAGTGCGAAGCGTGGTCCGCCACCACCTTGGATCCTGCCGCCCTACCCCTAGGCGTCTCAATCCCCCTGGACGGTGTCCGCGTCCTAGGCAGCCCCATTGGGCCGCCCACTGGCTGTGCTGCTCGTGTGCGCGAACGCCTTTCTGCAGCAGCCGAACCGCTACCACTCCTCTCACAGATGGACCCGCAACTATGCCTGCTACTACTCACCCGCTGCGTGAGTCGCCGCGCCTCGTTCCTGGTCAGAGCCACGCCGCTCGAGGCCCTGCCGTTGGGGGACTGGTCCGCCTGGGGGGAAGACCTGCTCCACACCTACCTGGCTGCTGCACACACAACGATCCCCAGGGACCGGGCTGAGAGGGATAGAATCTGGCAGCAGGCCGCCCTGCCCGCGTCTCTGGGAGGCCTCGGCATCACAAACCCTGCAGTGGAGGGGGGATTCGCTTACCTGGCATCGGTGGTTTCTGCCGCCCACCTGTTGCGCTCTTTCGGCGATTCAGCAAACCCGGCCCTCACAGGACTCCTATCGCTGATGGATGCTGACGGGGAGTCCACTTCGCTCCTCCCGAGACGCCTAGCTGCCTTGGAAGCTGAGCTGCCGCCTGACGGGATTGAGGCTCTCCAAGTGGGGAGACAAAAGCCTAACGGGCCCAAGCTCCAACAAGCACTCTCCCTCGCGGTACATACAGCCCGGTACATTGTGGCGCTGGATAGCTCGCGGGACATGGAGCTGAACCCGCTGTCCGGCCATACGCAGAGGCTGCAGTCCCTCCTAGGCCCTGGGGCGGGGGACTGGTTGCACGCCGTCCCCCTAATCTCCTCCCTCCGCCTCGGGCCCTCTCAGTTTTCCACGGCGGCCTCCTTCCGCCTGGGCCTGCCCCTTCCTGTGCCAAGACGCTGCAACTGTAGATACCGTACCACCTTCCCTGACGACCGCTTGCCGAACCACCTGATGCGGTGTGAGAAAGGGGGGGGGAGAATTGCCACTCACCATGCCCTGCGGGACGAGTGCGCAAAGATAGCAGCTGAAGCAGGCTTCACAGTGCACAAGGAGACGACGGCTTACTCACCGGTCGAAAACCTAAAAGCGGATATCTCTATCCGCCATCCCGACACCGGTGAAGTGTGGATTTGTGACATCACTGTCACAGACCCCGTCTCCCACCAGGATGTGCACGCCCGTAAGGCACCCGGATGGGCAGCAAGGATGCAAGCGGACAAGAAGGAGAGCAAATACGCCGGGCGGAACGCTTGGGTGGGCTTCTACGCCATGGCGGTGGAGACATACGGCTACCCCTCACCCGGAGTCCTTGATTTCCTTCGCAGCTGCGCGGAGCTAGCGGCCAAGCGGCGGTTCAACGCTGCCCCCAAGTCGAGGGAGGCCGCCAAGCTACTTACCGAGTACCGGCAGCGATGGAGCATGACCCTGCAGAGAGCCCAAGCCAATGCCCTCAGGGATAAGACCCATGAGGCTCTTACTGCGGATGTGCTAGACCTGCAGGGCCCCTTTACTCCACTGAGCGAGGGCCAGCTGTACCAACTGATAGAAGACCCCTCCGGCTACTAGGGCCGGAAGGGGGAGGGGATGTAGATTGCAGTGTGCTAGGTTAGTAGATTGCTGCCGTTGCATTGCTGTGTGTAGGTGCTGCCTTACCTTGTGTGTACCTTGCTGATATTAATACGACGGACCGTTCGAGAGAGAGAGAGAGAGAGAGAGAGAGAGAGAGAGAGAGAGAGAGAGAGAGAGAGAGAGAGAGAGAGAGAGAGAGAGAGAGAGAGATGGCTTGGGGCTAGTCCTTAGCCGTTTTTAGCCTCTCTAGCCTAGTCCTTAGTCCTTAGCCGTTTTCAGCACTGTTTCCCTAGTATAAAGTCTCTAGTTCTTGGCCCATGAGGCTCATTCTTCACTGGTGAGTCTAGTTCACTCTCCAAAACCGGCGGCTCGTTCGTGAGAGAGCGAGAGAGAGAGAGAGATGGCTTGGGGCTAGTCCTTAGCCGTTTTTAGCCTCTCTAGCCTAGTCCTTAGTCCTTAGCCGTTTTCAGCACTGTTTCCCTAGTATAAAGTCTCTAGTTCTTGGCCCATGAGGCTCATTCTTCACTGGTGAGTCTAGTTCACTCTCCAAAACCGGCGGCTCGCGCCGGCCGCCTTCGGCGGCCGCCGCTCGCCGGCGCGGCCTTTGGCCGCGCGTGAGGTGTGGCAAGGACAAAAGGAAACAAGGGCTATAACAACAAGCAGTACAACATGCAGTAGTAGCCACCTACACCAACAACAACACCCCCAGGCGTGGACTATCCGCCATGGGGAAGCCCAAGGCCCAGCCCAGTACAACAGGGGCGGGCAAGGGAAAAAATCTGCTACTCGGAGAGGATCCAGCATAGCCTCCCGTCCATCCAGCGCAGGACGGATGCGGCTGCTGACACGAGGCCGAGTGGTGCCTCCCGGGCAGATTCGGCAAGCTGCAACAAAGCCCGGGGGCCAGGTCCAAGAGCGGCGCCAGGGGAGCCCGGCACGTATCCGATCAAGGGGAGGAAATGCAGCAGCTCTTCCGCCGCGAACTCGGCCGCCTCCAGCTCTGATGGCATCATCCCCCCGACCTCAAGTTCCTGCCGCGCCAGGAACAAGTGCAGCTGATCAAGCACGTATGACAGGAGAGTCAAGCAACTCCCCACGTTCATTGCGCGCTCGGCGACGCCATCAGGGAGACCCCCAACAGTCTGACTCCGTCCTGCCTCAGGAACCGCAGCATGGGGAGGTGGCGGCGATGGCGAGGTCAGCAGCCCTCACGGAATCGGCACCTCTCGACCGCCAACAAAGAGCCGAGGAAACGCACCCGCGGTCAGACCTGCATGAGGTTGGGTGTGAGTGCGGGGGGGAGGAGACAGAGGGACGGGGGACATTGGGGGAAGTGGCTGCTGCTGCAGCGGCGCAGGGAACCATCGGCGCCGTGGCGATTGAGACAGCGAGGGCGGCAGGGACTGGTGATGCAGATGCGGAGGTGACTGGGGCTGCGGAGGCGGCGGGAACTGAGGCTGCGGTGCTAGCGGAGGCTGCTCGTGTGGTGCCTGAGGCCGCCGCTGCCGCTGTGAGCGTGGCGGCGGGTTCGGTGGAGGACCATGTCCTTGCTGGCGAGACTGCCGCTGCCTCTGGCGACGGCTCATTCTCACCCTCTGCCACTCCCCAGACTGCACCACTGTCGCCTGAGGAGGGGGAGCCGTTGGCGGAACAGGGACAGCTGGGGGAGGCGGGACTGGCTGCGTCCCCGGCACCGGTGGCGGCGTCTGTGATTGCTGAGGTCGTGTCGGCCGCGGTGGGAAGGCGGGATGGAGAGCCGAACGGTGAGGAAGCAGCGGTTGCCGCTGCGTCCACCGGAACGCCTGCTGCTGACGGGGGCGCAGACACGCAGGGGCACGGCCAAGTGGCGGGCGGTAGACGGGGTCGCGGGAAGGGCGTCGCGGCTCCCGCCGTCCGCGGGAAGACCGGGAAGCGACCCCGGGCCCAGCCAGCGCCGAGGCGGCCCGGAGCAGGGTTGGGACCTGGACCCCCGGGACCCCTCCTGGGCTGGCTTCTACAAGGGCAGCCGCCACAAGGGCCAGAGCGTCAGTCATCATCGCGAGGAGAGGCGTCAGCACCACCGCCCACGGAGCAGGAACAGCCACCGGCGGATGCGACGGAGCCGCAGCCGAGCCAGACTGAAGTAACGGCACCGATGCCAGCTAGACCGGCGATGGCGGGCGGATCTGACGCAGCGACAGTGGCCGCGCAAGGATCGAGACGATCCGCCCGACTTGGTCAGATATCCTGGGGACCGCCGCGCGGCGGCCGTACTCCCTGGATGCCGGCGGGACGTGGAGGTGCGAGCGTGCCTGGTAACGCAGGTGGCGGCGTGACGGCAACCGTGGGCGGAGCAGCACGGGGACGACGAGGGGGGATGCGCGGAGGCCTCAGAGGGGGAAGGGGGGGGCGTAACCCGCTAGGCAGAACGGATATTCCTGTGAGATCCGGCCCTTGGCGGGAACGTCACAACCGACCCGAACCTGTGGCTGTGGATGCACCAGCGAATGAGGAACAGGAGGGTTTGGAAAATAACGCGGCGGACCCAGAGTTTATCGGGGAGGAGGAGGCTGAATCTGAAGAAATCTCGCTGGATGAGGAGCCAGCTTCTGGGAGGAATAACGAGGCCAGGAGAGGGAGAGAGGCGGCTGCTCCAACCACACAGATTCCAGACAAGGCAGGAGAAGCTGCCACGGATGACACGGATGTCCCGTCACCATCAGACCTGGCAGACACGGATGGGGTTTGGCAGATGGCAGGGGAATGGAACGTGGACCTCCTCCAGAGAGGAGACCAACCGTTCCTTGTGCGCCGTCTGCCACCTCAGCTACTGGACCGCTACTGCTTGTGCTTGCTGGCCCCACTATATAGGCTGCAGAAATATCCCACTTGTCCAGGTGGCTGGACGATTCTGCACTTCCTCCCGAGGCTCACCCTCAGACCAGCACCGGAACCAGTCACTGGTAGCCGCTGGGCGATAATTGAAGCGCCCCTGCACAAGTTCCAGCGTGGCGAGTGGGAAGAGCTCTTTGAGGAAGCAGGGGTCATCCCCGCCACAGAGGGCCCGATACGACACCAAGATGACGAGGAGGGGGTTTGTGCACGAGCGGAGGGTTTGATGAAAAAAGGTAACATTGCGAAAGCAGTGTCGGCACTACGAACCAGTCCACTCGCGGAACCCACCTCGGCGACCCTGGCGGCCCTGCAAGCAAAACACTCTGCGACTGAGACACAAACCCCTGCGTGGGTAACCGGAATCACACAGTCCGAACTCGCCGTCCCGCTGGATACACTTCGCGAAGTCCTGGCGAGGTGCCCGAACGGAGTGGGGGCAGGCCCATCTGGCACATGCTTTGAGCATCTGCGCAACCTGGCTTTAGCCAATGAGGAGCTGCTCCTGCTCTTCGCCAAAGTAATCAACAACCTGCTCTGTGCCTTCCAGCCCCAACACGTTCGAAACCTGCTGCTGCCTTCACGCCTTATAGCACTACAGAAGCCTGACGGCGGGGTTAGGCCGATCGCTATTGGCGAAGCTATACTACGTGTAGTTGCAAAAGCGGCTCTACAGACTCTCGGCCCCAAAATTATGGAATTTTTCCTACCAGTCCAGCTAGGTGTTGCGGTGCCAGGAGGAGCGGAGTGCATCATCCATGCAGTCCGTGCCTTGCTTCGAGAGCATAAGACCAGGATCGCTCTGCAGTTGGACGTTGAGAATGCTTTCAATAGTGTAGAACGACAGGCCTTCCTCGGGGCGCTGCAATGGTCTAACCTAAGCCCGCTCCTCCCGCTGGTTCGAAACCTCTACGATGGCCCCTCTCGCCTGCTCGTCGACCCCCGACTCGGCACTGATCACATCTTGAGCACCAGGGGCGTACGACAGGGCGACCCCCTCGGACCACTCCTCTTCGCAGCGGCCATTCAACCCGCCCTCCTCAGCGTCGCCGCGTCCGTGCCGGAAGTTGCCATCACGGCCTACGCCGACGACATCACTGTGGTCGGCCCGCCTGAAGCAGCCTGCTTAGCGTTCAGCGCGATCTCAGGCAAACTGGCGGAGCTGGGGCTTCGCTGCAACTTTGCCAAGTCGTCGGCGTGGACCCCCTCAGAGGAAGGAGACAATGACGGACTACCGGAAGGATTGGTGGCCAACCAGGGAGGGATAAAGGTGCTCGGCAGCCCTATTGGTACTAGCGCGTACTGCACAGATCTAGTACGGGCGTCGCTGGAAGATGCGGCAACACCACTCCCTCTCATCACGCAGCTCAACCCGCAGCACGCGCTACTGATCCTATCACGCAACATCTCCCGCCGGATTTCGTACATGCTTCGTACGACACCGGCGTCTGCTCTTGGTATCGGGGAATGGAGGGGGTGGAGCGAGAGCTTGGTGGGAGCGGCACTCACAGCGGCGAAGCTCCGCATCCCCACGTCGGAGTTGGAGCAGAGCCTACTCTGGAGACAGGCGACGTTACCAGTCAGGATGGGCGGCTTGGGAATCATCGACCCAAGCTCGGAGGCGCCTGCCGCCTACATCGCCTCGGTTACAGCCGCCCATTCCCTTCTGCAGCAGCTGAACCTGCCTTCGGACTGCCTACTCTACCGAGCCACAACCCTCCTCTCCCACAAATGGTCCCCACCGCCCCCAGACAGTAACCCCCTGACCGCCATTGAAGCGAGTCTCCCTGCCGTGGCACATTCAGCACTGAGTCAGTACAGGACGGAGGGTACGGGCACGGGTAGTTTACAGCTGCGCCTCTCTAAGTGCATTAACCAGCAGCGGGCGGTGGACCTCCTGGGTGATACAGTTGTAGACCGGCCCGGGGCCAGCAGGGGCCACGCGATTCGACTCATCAGTTTGAAAGGAGCGGGAGCAGGTGATTGGCTCCATGCAGTGCCGACGAGAGCTGACCTTAGCATCTCCCCTGGTCAGTTCTCGTTGGCCCTGGGCCTCCGCCTAGGTATGGAGCTCCCTGTAGCCGAGGTGTGCCCATGCAGGCGAAGCAACTCCTCGATCCTAGACAAGAGCTTACCGAACCACCTGCTGCGCTGCCAGGATGGAGGGGATGCGGTTAGGACCCACAATGCGCTTGTCTATGCGGCGCTGCGCATGGCGAACGAGGCGGGCTACAAAGTTTTCCACGAGACTACCGCATTCTCGCCGCCAGTCCTCAGGAAACGGGCGGACCTGGCTATCCGGGACGAGGAATCAGGGGAAACATGGGTGACAGATGTCACCGTCACTGACCCGGTCCTGCAAAACAGGGACACTAGAGCGCGCCGGCCGCCGGGGTGGGCCGCGGAAGAGGCATCACAAAGGAAACACCGAGAGTACGAGGGGCGCCCAAGCTACGCCGGCTTCTTTGGGCTTGCAGTAGAGACCTATGGTGCAATGGCAGCTGACACGCTACAATTCCTTCGCATGTTAGCCACCCATGCAGCCAAGAAGAAGTTCAGGCAGGGCCGCCTCACCACCACGGCTGCCCGACTCAATGCCCACTACCGCCAGCGTTGGTCGGTGATGCTACAGCGCAGCCAAGCCATTTCCCTCCTCTCTAAGTCCAACCGAGCAGCGGAGGCGGCATTCCCACAGGCGGCGTCTGACCCCTGGGCCCCACGGCTAGGGGACCTCTGGCAGATGACACACGACGACTATGAGGAGCGGGAGGCTCCTGCAAGGGCGGGTTAGAGGGCTGGAGGGGGAGAGGGGCGAGAGGGGTAGGGAGAAGAAGATGGTGGGCAACGGCAGGGGGTGCCGGGGGATGGGACAAGGGCAGGGAGGCAGGGAGGCTGGAGCTGCTGAGGCTGCCGGCCTAGGCTAAGCACCGGGGGACCAGGGGGCGCACACACACGGCAGGCTTGCTCTGCTCTGCTCGGCTTGCTTTGCTTGCTTGCTCGACTTGGCTTGGCTTGTTTTGTTAGTTTGGTTGTTGTCTGTCTGTCAGTTTGCTTGTTTCAGCTAGCCTAGTTATCTGGTGACTTGCATGCCTAGACAAACCAACTAGCTATATGCCCCGGCCATGTCTGTACCTCTTGAACACTATCAATACATGACTGCTTGAGAGAGAGAGAGAGAGAGAGAGAGAGAGAGAGAGAGAGAGAGAGAGAGAGAGAGAGAGAGAGAGAGAGAGAGAGGGGTTCGCATTTTCTGGTTTCCTTGTCTATTCTCTATCCGGCGTATCTGGGCGCCGTCGTTCCTCGTCGCGCGCACACACCGGGCATCCACTGCGGGGGTTAAACCGCAGGCGGGCAATCCACCGTACCCGGCGGTGGGCCCAGCTGTCGGCACGGTGATTGTGTCCTTCGAGATGAGCCCCTACACTAGCTACACTTGCATGCAATTAAGGGGGGATGTCAGAATATAACATTCTTATATAATTACATGCATTGCTAGTTAGTGTAGTATCACCCTATCTTGTCGTTAGGTGGTCTACCTCCCTTCACCACCTCCCCTCTCTTATATCTTGTACTCCCATTCCATAGTGGAACCCCCTTCTTTTTGGCCAACTCTCTCGTTCCTAGCTTCTAGCCCCCCCAAACCCTAAGCTACTATGTTTGACACCGATGTAAGGTATGCAATTTGATTATCTATGACTTTTGGGCCACCCAAGAAGGATAATTTGCAAGCGTTAGGACGTCACAGGAAACTAACGGCATGTCATTGATGTTGGAATAACTGAAAGGCCATTTGAGCATTCCCAAAAGTATCGCAATACCGTAGCTAGGCTTTGGGAAGTCAGGATTTCTACCATGATTTCCCTGATTTCCAGGGTAGTTTTGTGTACTGACTGTTACGAATAGTAAAATGTGAGGTACAGTGCACTCCTATCAGTAGCAAGCGGAGAACACAATGAAGAGTACAAAGGCGAAAGGTCGGAATGACGCGAAGAGTCGTGTACGGTTACGCAGCATCTAGACCGTCGGAGCAGATGTTGATGTAACCGGGAATCGTAGTGGATAGTTGATAGAATCAGGGAATCGAAGTGGATAGGATAAGATTGCTAAGTTATAGGAAGACAATGAAGTCTTTGTAGTGACCTTGTTAATAAAGTTGAAAGAGAACGAGATGATTAAAGGATAGAGATACAAGGGTATAAATAGCAAACTAGCTAGCCATGTACTCTGAGGGGTACATTCCCTTATTTAACGGTATTGCATTGCTACAGTAGCTACAACTATTACTCAACAGTCACGACCGTTGACTGACTTCGACTGTTGACCTTCGGGTGACTCTCGAGCTTCCACATGCTCTATATGAGCTATTGCGGTACTGGTACAGTCGCGCTGCTTCGTTATGAAGTGGCGCGTTGGGAGAGAACCTTCGGGAATGTTATAATAACCTTTTCGGTTATTCCAACACTCCCCTTCATTCCTGAAGGTGGGCCACGTGGGATTTCTTCGAGATCCCGCAAAGGTCGGTGCGGTGCTGGAACTTCTGACATGGCTGTTTCTTGGTCAAGAAATCTGCTGCCATGTCACCGGTTGGGTAGTACGTGAGTTTGACCTTGCCCTTGTCGATCTCGTCCTTGACGAAGAAGTAACGGAGTGCGATGTGTTTCGTGCGGTTCACGAAGCCGGGCTTGTTTGTGATCTTGATCGCGCTTTGATTGTCGCAGAGTAACAAGAAGTGCCCGTTCATCGTCACTTTCGCTTCCTGCAGGAGCTCCATCAGGTACAGCCCTTCGCGAACAGCTGCGCTGGCGGCGATAAACTCAGCTTCGGCTGACGAGAGAGCGATGAGCTTCTGCTTCTGGGAGTTCTAGGAGATGAGTCCGGCAGGTTGGAGTTGAAATATGAAACCTGTGCGGGAGCGTCTGTTGTTAGTGTCCCCCGCATGGTCAGCGTCTACGTAGCCGTGAAGCTGCAGGGTCGCAGTTAAGTTGGCTTCGTAGGTGAGTCCGACGTCAGGGGTAGAGATGAAGTATTGGAGTTCTCGGCGTGGATCCAGTAGATTCTCCCCTTCAGGTCGCTTC